ACTCCTAGATCAGTACCCTCAGAGCAGGGACTACAATAAGGACAGTTTACTTTCCCCTCCGGAAAAATGAAAAGCAGCTGGCCATTTATAAACCGGTTTGTTGCTCAAAAAGTGGCGCTGATTACTTTTCTTCAGGGATAAAAAAAAGTGCATTCCATACATTTTTTCCATGCGTTACAGTTGAATAGTCGCTGTGTTACTATATATTTTATGTATTAATTAAATTTTGAAATAAAATTCACAATTTTAAAATGCCAAGAGTGTGTTTTTCTACAGGATGCAATACCGGGTATGTGAAACAACGAAGAGAAACAATAAAAGATGGGGAAAAAGTACCCAGTCTTTTTCAAGCACCAAAGGTATGTGCACGTGTTATTTAAATATGTATCTAAGTTATGATTATACATCATATATTGATATAGTACATATGTCATGAATTGATAATCATTAATCATTATGTAGTTTCGATTTCAAAACTGTTTTTATTAGCTGTATCGCATTTGGAGATGAAACGAAGCTATTGTTTAAAATTTTGCAATGATTGTTTTATGATAAATTTCTTTGAAAAATAAAATATATATATATTGACGTTAAATACAATACGATATATATATATATATATGTATATAATATAAATAAATAAATATAAGCTTATATAATTGGGATTAACTGCATCTAAGAGGAAAATCTTCAAAAAAAAAAGAGTGCGAGACATTAAAGGCAGCTAGATTGTAAATTAGTGACCGGGTAATTTGGTGAGAGCGGGTACCTCAATTGTGTAAAGATTTTTTCTGCTCTCTCTGAATCACTTTACTAGTCAAGAAGAAAGGCCTACCATACTATTCATTGGAGAATATAGTCACAAAAGTTATTTTGATTACATAATATTATACGGTTACTATAGATTCGTACCCAAACCAACGGCATGGACTTAGTCCAATCGTAAGAGTTTAGTATAATTTTTGTTGTTGTTTAGATTCGATTCGATCTGTTCTCGGGGTAAGAGTGAGTACTACCAAGTTTTGCCTCCCCATCCTCCTTTGATGTTCATCTATACTGGATTCACAAAAGCTGCGGTGCAGCGGAGGAAGAAGAAAATTATCATTTATAAAAAAGTAGAAAATCATCTATAAAAAAGTAGTGCACCTATGAATTTTCAGGAGTAATATATCGTACACTACTAAACACTGAATAGCTTGATTAAATATGACAGTTTCTAGGTAGAAAATCTTAACTCCAACAGGTCTTCGAACTCCAGCTACTCGGTCTGACCCCACTTTCCCTTAAATATCTATTTAAAAATTTGAGTAGGCATTGAAATAAAGTGTATGGGCCCCATAATTTTATTTATATAAACTTCCAAACTATCAGGAATCATTGAGTGCTGTTTCATTTGAAGATCTTGCCATAAATGTGCCCTATGTGGCAAATGATTGAGGAGCATAATTGCTCTTCAAAAATTAGAATTTTCAATACCAATGTTAAATATGTCCTACCCTACTATATGGATCTGAGATATGTCACTGCAATAGAAAATAACGTGAAAAAACTTCAAGTACTCATTAAAAACTGTTAAGGAAGAATCTTGCGTATCAATTGGTTCCATAAAATTTGTAATGCAGAAATCTTTAGAAAAGCAAAACAGAAATTAATTGATTTGAAAATAAAATTTTTTTTTAAGCAGAAATGGATTGGTCAATGTTCTACGCAAACCTTAAAAGTTTAAAGTAAAGCAAGTTTTTGTTGAAACCCTCAGTACACCACAAAAAGAGGAAGACCTAAAAGTACTTGGCGCAGGACTATTGTAAACGAATTGAAAAAAAGAGGAAAGACATACAGAGAGAGGCAAAATATCTGGCCGCAAATAGTAGAAAGCTATAATAGAAGCCCTATGCCCCAATTCGGTGTGAAAAGAAATATGTATGTAATTGCTCTTCAGTTGATTGTTTTGCAGCAAGTCACATTTTAGTGAATTTCAGAAAATTACTTGAAGAGAGTATTGAATAATCTGGAAGCTATACTCCTTTTTTGTTGGAAATCACCTTATTTAGGGGCTTGCAAATAGTTTTGATGTTTAATATTTACGAAAGAGATGATTATAAAATACATGTTGTTAAACTGAAATATAGAGTTTTAAAGATACATTTGGGACTTAATTTCGTACGTTACGCAAATTTTTTAGCTTTCACCAAAATTATGATGTGTATTTTTAAGAGTTATTAGCTACAATTTTCAATAATTTTAACTTTTGAAATTAATAATTTAATTTCAACTCTCGTTCTCAACAAGATTTTCCAGTTGGGATAGTTTGAATTGCTTGTGCTTCTTGATATGCTTGTTTGTTGTTATGCAAAACGCACAAGAAATTAATATCTTTTTCTATAACTACAAAAAACTTATATGTACTAACAAAAAATAAGGAAAAGAAAAAAAGAAACTGAATATTTTTAAAATGTTACTTAGTAGTGTTAAGTAAAGTCTCTGATTACTAGCTAATTTATAATTTGGAGTTTCTGATGAAGTTATTACGATTTTTAAGTAACTATAAGTTTAATTTGAAATTTTTTAAAATTAGAATTCCCATGAATCCTATTTCTAGTTACTATAGTTTAAAGTTATATTTGACATACTTTCAGCTCTCTAAATGCAACAAGCAACTATTGTAAGATTCAATACTTACAGCAGACAATAATATGTTCCATTGTAAATTTAAAGATGTTGTTTTACATGTTCTTTAAGTAAACTCTCAAGGCTCCAACAAAGTTACGATTTAAAGTCCTAGAGCCTTGGTGGCTCAGAAGATAGGGAGCTCGCCTCCCAGTGAAGTGAACCGGGTTCAAATCCCGGCGAAGGCAGGTTAATTCGAATTCCTCACCCGGCTCGCACCGACCACAGTGCTGACGTAAAATATCCTTAGTGCTGGACGGATCATGGGTTAGAGTCCCCTTGCTGACAGTGTAACCGTGGGAGGTCTTCTTGATTTTCCTCTCCATGCAACGCAAATGCGGGTGAGTTACATCAAAAAGTCCTCCACGAAAGCAAATTTCTCCCAATACTTGATCCAGCAGTTCCCTCTTCTTCTGAATTGGGTTAAAAACTACAAGGCTACATAGTTAAACATTTGTAGCCGTAAACTGAAAATTCGGTCGGCTGTTTAACGACGTTTATAAAATAAAATTTAAAGTCCTAGATTTAGTCTTAAAGATTTAATTTTTCAAATTATTGTTTACTACAATCCATGTCTCGCCATGCATCTGGTTGCATAGTTACTGCAGTTTGAAGTCTTACTTAATGCTCATGTTAGTCATTCTGAAAAGTACACAAAAAATAAATGTTCAATATTTGCGGCATACCTGTATATGTTCTTAAAACAAAAGGCTGAGTGTTTTCAAAATGTAGCTTAACACGTTTAGAAAACTTTCCAATTTCCAACAAAGTTAAAATTTGAAGCTCTGATATTATACTCAAAGATTTTAAAAAAAAATTTTAGTTTTTGAAAATGTTAGCTACAACTCCCGTTTGTTATTAATCGGATTATCTTATTAGTATATTTTAAAGTCTTATTTGATAATTTTTTTGTCGTACTGCAAAACTCTCAAGAAATTAACGTTATGTTGAATCTTTTCAGTAGACAATCACATGTTCTTAAGGAAAAAAAAAGTTATTTTCAAAATGTTAATTAATACTTTCTTACAAACTCTCTAAATTCTAACAAAATTATAATTTTAAGTTCCAGATTTATTGTTTAAGATTTTAAACTAATATCAACCAACCTTAATTTTCCAAATTATTTATTGTACTTAATTAAATCAAATTGTATTGTTAGAATAGTTAAAATTACATTTCATGTAATTTAAACTTTTATTAATGCAATTAAATTATTAATTAAAATAATTAATAAAATAGTCTTACTTGATACACTTGTTTGTTGTTCTGCAAAGCCCACTAACACTACAAAGATGTCGAAGAACAGAACGCGTGCGCGCATTCTTTTTTTTTCTTTTTCTTCCACTACAATAATCAAAACAAATGAGGAAAATAATCGATTTAATCAAAACAATAGATGATTGCAATTACAATAGAGAAGTTTAAGAGAAAGTGATGCTATTTAAACAATCTTTAGATCATGTGGGCCAAACATACATTAAGTGAGGGTGGCATGACCTAAAAACACAATTTCACTTTCAATTATCAACATTGAAAAGTGAAAAAAACAAAAACAGTGAAAGTTTTGTTATTATTCTGTATTATATGGATGCGGTCGCCAGGGTCACCGTTCTTTACTCGGGCGGGGTCCACGGTCGACCGCCGAGGTCACCACCAGGGAGTGTTTATTGACCTTGAGGTTGAAGTATCTTCTTGCCAAGAAGTGAAAGGAGTATATTTTGAATGGTAATTAAGGGTCATTAGCTTCAAATCCATGATGAAATTAGCAGGTTATGTTTATTTGATGAATTATTATTGTTTTGTGAATAACACTTTGGATGTTGCAAGAAGTTTCTTTTTTTTCTAGTTAGCCTACGCCATACTAAGTACTTCTGCCAATGGATTGTGGTTTTTGATAAAATCAATGATTATAGAAATTAGGAAACAGATCAAGTAATATGGGACTCACTGTAGATGGCACAAATCAAGTTTAACACGTTTTTTCATTTCATGAGGATTAGTTATTTATTTTGTATTGAACTAAAATAAAATGTCTATTGTCGTTTTCGTACGCTGTAAAAAATTACGGTAAATCGTATTGGCACTTAAGATGTCGGTACTTAAACTGTAAAACTAATTTTTACTGAAATCTCTTGCAGAACAAAAAATTTGCTATACCGTAATTTTTACAGTAATAACTACCATGAAATCACTGAATCACTCTAATTGAATAAATATTACTGTAAAAAATACGGAATAATATGTTACAGTAAAAATTGATTTTACTGATGATGCACCTAAATTAGCAGGTACTTCGAACCCGCGCCAGCCCGTGCTCGACGAATAACACACTGCGCACGGTCCTAACCATTGGATCACGCATATATTCGTCCGACTATTTAACTTCAAGAACACTCTCCCGGTTAGTCAAACAAAAGGATTTTAGACCCATTGCGGTCCCCCTAAAAACTCTTGATCCGAAATATTTTACAGTGTGCAGTTAGTTGTTATCGCAAGTTTACTTTTGAATTTAATCAAATTTGCAAGATTAATTAGATCTTTTAATACATTTTGTCATTTTTTAAAATTTCATTACCGATGGTGAATAGTTGATACATATTGGACCTTTGGCTATTTCATTGTTCGACTCTGTAGCACTGTGATTTTGAAGAGACAAGGGAGCTTTGATCAAGCATTAGAACAAACTCGCCTTCCTTTTGAAGGTTTCATATTTTTAAAACCATTTTCTCATTTTTATTATTATGTAGTGTTTGCAATTTTCCCATTTCAGTCCTAATGACGAAGTAAGGACAAGGTATATATTTTATTTGTTTTATTTTGCTATCCGGTGTTTAGGACCATAAATGTATGTTGTCAAAGATTCTCTCAATTTTTTAATTTTGTATCTGTCTTAGTAGACAAGAAACTCCCGAGTCAAGAATCGAGTATAATGAGGAAAAGAATCTAACTTAAGAATCAAGAGTAATCAGGAAAAGAATTTCTTGAGTCAAGAATCAAGTGTAATTAAGAGAAGATTCTCCTGAGTCAAGAAACGAGCATTACAATGATAAGAAAACCATAAAATCTTCCACAATTAGCTCGACACGATAGCTACAGTTTTCATAATCCTCAGAGTCATTGGACCAATATTTATCAGAAAAAAAATACCTTCCCTTGGAGTTTTAGATACTTTTTAATTAGTAAATTCTTAGTCTGATTATTGTGCTGTGTTAAGTGTTAAGTAATATCATTCTCAAAATATCAAAATTAAACTTTTTTAGTCTTTCTTTATATCTGGTAAGGAGCACATAGTCAAAATTTGAGACTTCTTTTTTGGAAAAATTGTGTCATTCAGCATTAGTGTCTATTAGTGCTGTAGTGCTTTATTTACATTGCACTAGAGCTGCACAATGGGCTCTTGACGATGGTATGGGAAAACTCCCCGAGGATTTCCCGAAGACATGCCATCACAATTTTGATCCTCAGCATAGAGGATGGCTCCTCCGCTTTGGTACCCCGACGATCTGCATGGTAAAATCGAGCATTTTATGGTAAGAGGACCGATACGGCGAACCATCGGCCCCTACGGAAGCTGATCAAAGTGATCACCCACCTACTCTATGACCGCAGTCAGTGATACTTGACTTCGGTGTGTTACTGGAAATTGTGTCTGTACGATCAGTCCAATGTGGGTTGTCTGTTAGTGTAAATGTTATCTAATTACCCATTTAATTACAAAATATAGAAAGGAAATGTTTTTTAGTTTTTCTTAAATAAAATTTATTTTATAAGGATTACAAGGCTCAAGATGTAGCTTTTTAAGTCTATAAGAAATGGGGGAGTGTGTTGAAATAGGACCCATAAGTCTCAGGGTCAGGGACCCAACTAGGGTCACAGGGTTTGAGACCCATGGTTACTCAAAAAGGGTAAACTGTTAATATATATCAAAGTAAATATATATCAACAAGTAAATTATGTTTTAGTGATGCATAGATGCTTTTGGAAAAATTTCTTGTCTTTAATTTCAGTAAAAAACCCTAAGAATCTTATTTCAATTTGTGTATACAGAGCAATATATATCATGAAATCTTTGAAATTACAGTCCGGCCGTAAAAACAAACAGAAATATTTTGAAGGGATATGAGAAAAGAGGTGAAGCGATTCTTTCCAATTTTATTCAGAAAAAGATTTGCACGTAAGCATGTAAAAATATGGAAAAATGAATTGAAAATATGATTTTCTATTTAAGAATTTCTTATTTCAAAGGAATTGGAAAAAGATTTAACATTTTTTATATGAAAAACATATATCTGTTTTCGAAAACAAGTATATAAATTTAATAATATTGAAAATATTTTGCAGATGAAACTGTAATTGCATTGCTAAAAATGCTCTTCTAAAATGAAGTATGTATTGCAGCAAAAGTATTTCATGGAAGTGTTCCTGGTTATAATAAACATGTTAGATTTTACAGAAATACTACAGTTCATTCTGAAATTTGATGTCAGATAAGAAACATGGTAGGTTTTTTTTCTTCTTCTTTAGAATGTAAAGCATTTTGGGTTATGCATTCTTCATTCGAGATAGAGATTCCATTTTTATATGTGCTCCCATATTATTTTTAAAAACGGTTTTAGCAAAAAGAAATTATTTTTGATTAAAAGAGCATTTCGAATCGCATTTTGCAGCTTTTTTTACAGTCAGCTCAATTCATCCGCTATATTTCAAATGTTTTCAAGTTTCTTAATTATTAAAGAATTTTTGAAAATAAAATTTTGCAATAGATCGAAAGCTTAATTTTCGACTTTGTTTAATAACAATCATATTTAATTTAACACTAGAATCTTTTAAAACTAAAAGTACCTAAAAGTGAAATTTAATTAAAACAAGTTTAATCTCTTTCATGTATTTACTGCTACTGTTTCATTTGATTGTAAACGTTGCAATAGAGCTGCACTAATGGACTGTCATGTATTAACTCTTTCTGTTTGATTCGATTATTAACTGATTCTGAAAAACTGATTCAACTGATTTAGTTTAATTTGTTTGTTAACGACACATTAGAGCTATACTAATGGGTTGTCATGGATTAATTGTTTCTGCTTGAATCGATTATTTATGTCGCACTAGAGCTGCACTAAAGGACCTTCATAAATCAACTGCTTCTGTTTAATTTGGTTTTTATCATCGCATTAGAGCTACACTTATGGACTGTCATGTATTAACTGTTTCTGTTTCATTCGATTATTAACTGATTCTGAAAAACTGATTCAACTGATTCTGTTTAATTTGTTTGTTAACGTCACATTAGAGCTATACTAATGGCTTGTCATGTGTTAATTGTTTCTGCTTGAATCGATTATTTATGCCGCACTAGAGCTGCACAAAAAGACTTTCATATATCAACTGCTTCTGTTTAATTTGGTTTTTATCATCGCATTAGAGCTGCACTTATGGACTGTCATGTATTAACTGCTTCTGTTTGATTCGATTATTAACTGATTCTGAAAAACTGATTCAACTGATTCTGTTTAATTTGTTTGTTAACGTCACATTAGAGCTATACTAATGGGTTGTCATGTGTTAATTGTTTCTGCTTGAATCGATTATTTATGCCGCACTAGAGCTGCACAAAAGGACTTTCATATATCAACTGCTTCTGTTTAATTTGGTTTTTATCATCGCATTAGAGCTGCACTTATGGACTGTCATGTATTAACTGTTTCTGTTTGATTCGATCATTAACTGATTCTGAAAAACTGATTCAACTGATTCTGTTTAATTTGTTTGTTAACGTCACATTAGAGCTATACTAATGGGTTGTCATGTGTTAATTGTTTCTGCTTGAATCGATTATTTATGCCGCACTAGAGCTGCACAAAAGGACTTTCATATATCAACTGCTTCTGTTTAATTTGGTTTTTATCATCGCATTAGAGCTATACTTATGGACTGTCATGTATTAACTGTTTCTGTTTGATTCGATTATTAACTGATTCTGAAAAACTGATTCAACTGATTCTGTTTAATTTGTTTGTTAACGTCACATTAGAGCTATACTAATGGGTTGTCATGTATTAATTGTTTCTGCTTTAATCGATTATTTATGTCGCACTAGAGCTGCACTAAAGGATTTTCATATATCAACTGCTTCTGTTTAGTTGAGTTTTTAACATCGCATTAGAGGTGCACTTATGGACTGTCATTTAGTAACACTAGAAAGACTGAAATACCTATATTGCCCAAAAGCAGTCAAAATGACTGCATTGAGAAAGAATAACTAATGTATAGAGAAATTTGTTTAAAATTAATTTTCAATATTTTTGATACTATTTTCATTTATATAATAAGTTATTAGTAAATATCTACAATAAAAATAATTATAAAAGTCACACAATTCTAAGAAATTGTGTCATTATGCACATCATTGTTTTTCTAATTGAAATTAGAAAGCAGTCAAAATGACTTCCTTGGGCAATCTAGGGTTAATTGTTTCTGTTTAATTCGATTATTAATGCCTCACTAATGCAGTTTCATGTGCTCTCTCTCTCTGTATATATATATTTATATTACACAGTATATTTTTATAAATACAAACTATATCATGATAAATTGGTGAAACT